GAAGTCCTACTCACTGCCTTCTCGTGGCACTACTGTTGTTTACGAAAATGAGAGGACGAAAAGCGAATGACCAGCGCTTTAACCGGAACCCAAATCAATGGTGCACATGGGCTCCAGCATCCTACAAGAACAAATGGCGTATGAACCAATTTCTCGGTGTTACATAATGAAATTGGGCAAAGCTTGCCTAAAGACCGAGAAGCCTGGTGGTCGGAGCGTACTAATGAGCTGGAAGCAGCAGCTGCATCTGGTGATTTCCGGAAGCTCTTCCAACTCGTCCGAGCCACTGGGATCAAGAAGTCTGGTGTGAGCGAAACAATCTGCGAGGATGACGGAACGCCAATCACTAACATCCATCGACGTCTTGGACGATGGGCAGAATTTTTCGAAGGGCAGTTCAACTGGCCTGTTGATCCGGCGACATCGGTCAGACTGTCCTGCCCCCCGTGGCCGGTGACGACTGATCCACCAAATGAGGCGGAAGTCCGCAAGAAACTCCAACTCCTGAAACGCTACAAATCACCGGGCCCAGACGACTTACCTACGGCTCTTTTTAAAGATGGTGGTGACTTTCTGACTAAGGGACTGACGACGTTGTTTACAAAGGTCTGGGAACTAGAGAGTGCACCAACGTCATGGAATGAGTCGATAGTTGTCCCTATCTTTAAAAAGGGTTCACGTCGTTCCTGTAACAAATATCGGGAGATAAGTCTACTTCCGATTGCGTCCAAACTATTGGCTTCCGTTATACTTCGTAGGTTGTTCAAAACCCGAGAACGATTGACTCGCGAGGAGCAGGCTGGGTTTCGTTCCGGTCGAGGATGTGTTGATGATGTCTTCACCCTCCGCCAAATGTTAGAAAACCGCCATACTTATCAAAGGCCAACAATCATAGTGTTTCTTGACATCAGGGCTGCCTTTGATTCGTTGGACAAAACTGTTCTCTGGGAGTGTCTATTGAAGAAGGGTGTGCCTGAGAAGTTTATTAACATCCTGAAAGCATTATACACAAACACCTCAAGCAGAGTGAGGGCATACAACCCCCTTTCTCCATTGTTCCATTCAAGCAGTGGGGTTAGGCAGGGTTGCCCAATCTCATCATTCCTCTTCAACTTTGCCATCGATGACATTCTGGAAACAGCTCTGACGGATGTAAGTAATGGTGGTGTGGATCTGTTGCCTGGAGAAAGACTTCTCGACCTTGAGTATGCGGATGATATTGTCCTACTGTGCGATAATGCCCAAGCCATGCAATCCACACTTAATCAGTTGGCAATCAATGTCCGTAGGTATGGTATGTGCTTTGCACCTTCAAAGTGCAAAGTACTTCTGCAAGACTGGCAGGATTCTAATCCTGTACTCACTCTGGATGGTGAGCAGATAGAAGTGGTCGGGAAGTTCGTGTATCTAGGTAGCTGCATAAGTGGTGGTGGTGGCGTGAGTGATGAGATCAGTGCACGTATAGTGAAAGCCAGAGCGGCTTATGCCAATCTGGGCCATCTTTGGCGCCTTCGTGATGTTAGTCTGGCTGTAAAAGGTCGGATCTACAACGCGTCGGTGAGAGCAGTTTTGCTCCATGCTTGTGAAACCTGGCCTCTCCGAGTTGAGGATGTTAGACGACTCTCTGTGTTCGATTATCGCTGTCTCCGAAGGATTGCTGACATCCAGTGGCAACACCGTGTTAGTAATGCAGAGGTTCGGCATCGTGTGTTCGGGCACAGAGACGATAATGCAATTGGTGTCACCATCATGAAACACCGACTTCGGTGGCTTGGACATGTTTTACGAATGTCATCCCAGAGAATTCCTCGTCGTGCATTATTTGCTGACTCTGGGACTGGTTGGAAAAAGCGGAGAGGTGGTCAGCATATGACATGGTGTCGTAGTATGGAAGAAAGCTGCAAAGGGCTAGCTTCTGTTGGTCCTTCACGACTCCCTGGCTGGGGTCCGAGAGATGGTGTAACGCAGTGGCTAGAGACGTTATCAGATATGTCTCAGAATAGAAGCCAGTGGTGATCCTGCTGTAATCTTCTTTTACTTTCTTCATAATAAGTGGTTGTATCTTCCTTAACTGAAAGATTCTTCTGATTGTACCTTTTTGCTTCCCCTATTATTACTACTATTACACTACCACACACTAATCTGGTCGTTATTGTTTTTTGTCTTCCCTTCTCTTTAAATTCCTCATTTTTTTTGTGTGGCGCATATATATTTGGTGCCCCTTGTACCAATATTTATGTGTTCAAATAAATAAACTTCCAGATAAAAAGTTATGGCAATTATGCAGCTTAAAATGGTTTACATTCACTTGGAATAATTTAAGTTTTATACAAAAAACGTAATTCACAGATATAACTTCGTAGGTTGTCTGATTAATTCATTAGTCAAGAGGCAAACTAGGCAAGCACTGAGTTCCTTAATATGTCCTTCTGGGACATGTAACCAAACAATGAAGTACATAATCTGATAATATAACATTATGAACGGGTGATTTTTATATCTTAAACCAATTCTACATGCAAATTACGTCACAGAAATCTATGCCCAAAACGAGCATTATTATGTTATATGGAAACATCAGCCAAGTCTTTCTTGAACGATTTTCTAGTATGGTGTGTTTCCGTTTCCCCATTTCGTATCAAAGCAATAAAGCAGTAGAGTAGAAACACAATAGTTGGGAGCCGAGTTTAGGAAGACACTAAGAAAATAATAGAATTGAAGTAAAAACAAATCTGACGTCTCCGTAATGAAACTGAGACAAGGCTGCTAAGCGAAACACTGGAGTTATTTTAATTTCAAGCCCCAAGACTTCCACATAAATTAAAGCAAAACAGAAACTCTATATTTCGAATTATAAAAACTTACTACTACCTAGTAGTTACAAATATTAGTCGGAATATTTCGCCTACCCAGTTTTGGGTACTTTTGTACTGTGGTTCTCGATGCTTATTTTCTGACGGAAAAACCTAACATCATTGTATACCTCTTAAAAAAGGCAACCTCACAAAAAAGTTTAGTTTGTTTGGGATTTCGCTTAGGAAAAAAGTCTCAGTAAATAAACAGTCAAACAGACAGTTTTAACTACATAGATTTAGGGAAGTTTTTGAACAAAATAAAATGAATGAAACCTAAAACATCCTGAATGATATTCGGTTTTGTCTGAGATTTTTCACCATGCATGTGTTAATTAGCGCTGATGTTACAAATAAATGAAGGATCTAAATGATGAATGAAAATTTAGGGAGATTTGTCTGTCATATATGGGATTGTACATTTTGGATAAGAATTGAGGAAGGAATCGAGGAAAAATCATCCTTTTACACTGACGAAACTAATGGTGAAAAATTGGAAATGATAGCATACCACCAGAACAGAAATACCATTTTTGTTTGATTACCGTCAATCTGTCCTAACTCGACTGTAAAATGATTAACAGGAGTGTGACATTCCGTAAAGTAAACAACAACCCGAATAGGTTGCCTTAGAGACGAAATGACAATGAATGATCATCAAAAACTGCATAAACAACCTATTGTAATGTTTTTTCATTTATGATTTACAAGCCTACAGAAACGAAGGTTTGAAAAGAAAATGACGCGTTTTGAAATTAATCAACATGGTAGGCGAACTAACAGTTCGAAAATGTAATTGGGATCGTATCAGGTAACTCAATGATTTTTTAGGAAGATTTGATATTTCATCCTAAACAGGCCACTGATTTATCTTTCTTCAAAAAGGATATAAGGCAAACGAAAACCAGCTGGCTACATATCTATAATACCTTACATCTATTAAAATCGATTTTCAACATATAATACAAATTGTCTTTGAAGGAAATAAACCAAGTGTTTTGTCAAGTATTGAGGTTGTGATAACTGTTGTTTATCTAAAGGAGTTAATTCGAACAATCCACTGACATCGTCCAACTAGCTTATACACTTTTTACATAAATCTATAACCCTTAAATCAGTTAACATTGTTAGTCATGGAAGCATGTAATTTAGGAAAGTTGTGGTAATGAATTATCTATTGATCTATAAGCATCAGATGTGCAAAATCTTAAGGAGTTTGTTGACAAGTTATTTGATAAATTTATATGGAACTCCCAATACAAGGCAACCATGATCTTTACACGTACTGCCCATTTTCAACTCAATTGAAAAAGGAAGAACTCTGAAGTGAACTCATGTACGTATGATTTATTCTTTTTTAGATCTTACTAAAATATTTCTTTAATCTCTTTATATGTTGATCACTTGGCTATAGCTTTTGACACTGATTTTTGAGTACTATATCCTAAATACATAAAAGCAATCAATCTGCTATCAGGATTTCTATGTTATAAAACAACCTGAATCCAATTCATCGATTCAAATGCTTCAGTTGATTTCCTGAGCAGTCAGACAAAACAAATGTTGTTCCAAAGACAAGTGTTGACAGAAAACTGTGGGTAATCTACTGTGAATAGATAAATTATTCGCCAAAACAATTTCACGACCTACATATCCCTGTCTCGGTTAAAAATATGTCGGGAACGGTAAATTTACAAACACTTGCTTTTAGAAACCAACTTCTAAAGTTATATATGGACTTAAAGTGAGTTTTGATCATTAATTTTTAGTGCATGCCCATTTGAACTGATTTAATCTGTATAAAATTCGTTTAGCGTTTCAAGTCATTTCATTGTTCTAGTCATTACTTCAGCTTTCTGGCATTTAAGTGATGGCTCCCAAGACCTTAAATTGCGCGATTAATAACCATTAAAATCAATCGATGTGCAATTGAATCGAACTTCTTCGGTCTAAGATTTGCCCCTCGGAGTAGCTGGGGCTGAATAAGAATAGAACCGTTGTATATGGTATCGGAGTTACCGTTAGAGATATCGCTGTTGTCCTGTAAACGTATCACTTGTAGCCTATATTTTCCCATAAATTTTGAGCAAATTATTCAGCTTTTAGCAGTAAAGATCCCACGTAGTCTTGATTTTTTTTATCATCGTGGGTTATTCAGGTGTCAGGTTCGCAATTAGTGGTTGAATAGAGCTGTAGGACACATCTTCGAAAGACCCTTATCACAACAGAAGTATAAACTATTATCAATGTGCTAGACTTCAGCTTGTTTGACGTTCAAAAGACAAACTTTATCATAAACTCGGGAGAATTATTCTACCGTTACTTCACTTGATCGTGTTAGGACATAAATGTTGCAAGTGTGTAATAAAGAAGTAAAAAACATACTTCAAAATAAATCAGATTTCTGTTCGGCAATATATACGTAATTCAAAGGGTAAAAATTTATATTACCCGATTAGAGCATAGAATCCTCGAACATACATTCAATAGCATCTATTATGTACTCACACCAATTTTATTAAGCACACCACGTATCTAGAGATATATTTCAGTTTTAACAAAGTACAATGCGATTGTACCCTCAAGTGTCAGAAGAGTTACACAGAAAAATAACAAAATGAATAATATACAATGTCTATTACTGCATAATGATAACTGTAAAGAAAAACTCAATGACTATGATGAAATGCCTGTATGAGTCTCTTATGACATTTCAACATACATTTCACCTGAACCAATCCCAGTAAAACAATCCTCTGTGGCTAACCCCAACAATTTACGTTGATTCATTAAAGCATTCGCTAGTGCAGAACACTGTTGAAACTTATCATCTGGTGAGTTTTCTGACTGTGAAACATTTTTCAATACAATTGGGTCAGAACAATTTGAACTTCTGTAATTTTCATGTACATTAGTAGATGACAGCTGAAGAAAGATCGAATTTCTTTTTAAAACATTACATTTTAAATTTCGACGTCCAGTACGGGACTTTTTGAAATATTCGCATGATGAATTACACAAAGGAGTTGGGAAAAATTCTAGTAGTTTATCATCCATAGAAGCACAGTTGCTTTCATTTGTATCAAGTGAATCGGATAATACAAACTGAGTCTAAACATTAAAGAAAAAGTGATCAGATAATAAATAAGATCTAGGGAAACAACCTTTTTATTTACGTATTAAAATATAAGCCGGTAGAAATTCGAAAGTCAGTGAGAAACACTTAGGCATTAATATAACCTACTAATTTATAGTAGTAATTAGAGTATCATTGTTGCTAATTCATGAACATTTTAGTGTGACAGAACATGATCAGAAGAACTTTTGAGAGTAACGTGAAGCAACAAAAATCACTTCTGAAAAAAACAAAAGTGAAAGTCTACACTACTTATTTTAAGAATATATCAAGCTGAGTATGGAAATGTAGATTTAATGTATGCTATTAAACAGCTGACTATAGACTGAAAGTCTTCTGTACAGATGGCTAGCATTATAAATTACAAACGAGGTTTATATGACGTTTATGACATGTAGCTATTAAAATATTGAAAACTGAATGGACATTTGAGGCTCCAACAGAAAAAAAATTCATAGAAAGAAAGAACTCAGTTAATATCACCATCAAGATTCAACTTGTTTATCAAACTTATTTCTATATACTCGACTGTTTTTACACAGTTTGTTTGAAGCTTAGCTAAAGTAACCTGTTTTTCAAAACAAGGTAGACGGAATAACTTAGTAGTCGAAATTAAAGCCCATTAATCAATAACCTACTGTTCGACAAAGGATAAGGCATACAAATCAATGGGTTGAGCTAAAAACTAAAGTGCACTCAAATCGACTATCACTGGCATATTATGAAATAAATTTTCTGTTATAGAGTTTGAAAATAGTCAATTAAAAACATTCTTCAGAGACAACGATGGTCGAACAGGGTAGACGTACATCTTTATCTTGAATGAGGGCATGTTCTGAAGACAAAAAAAAACAGCTCTCACCGACACGTTGTAAACTCGGTATTTTACAGTCAGACTAACATGCCGATGGCTCAGAAAATACTTCGTATTCCCATAAGCCACTTTATCTTGTATAAGAGAAAGACTACTACTTACATGTGGGATGTAATCAAAACAAAAGTTTGGACACATTATAATACAATAGAATAGAGCAAAATAATCCAAAAGAAACATTTGTGAGTCTTACTTGAAGCTCATTTTCAGAATTTACGCTGACCCTGTTAGTGGACAGACTCGGCTTTTCGTTATCAGGACACTCTATCTGCAATCGTCGTTTTAAAGCACATTCTTCACGCTCCTGCATAATCACTCGACGCTGAGATATTACATTTTTAAGTTCTTTCAGTACAGTAACATGCATACCTGATGATGGGTTCTAAAAAGGAGAAAATGTGAAGTTTTTGTGAAATGAATTTCCCAAATGAAACAATATCAATCATGAGCCTAATATCATTCTGGACTTTACAGTTTTCAGCTTGATTACTTCCTTTTAAAGACATTTTGTTTGGTTTGGTGCTACCATTGGTATCAGATTTCTCTATTCATTTGTCGCCCGAGTTAAATTCCTGTCATTTTGTTGATGTGATGTGTGGGAAAGCAGACCGACCTATATCTACCCCCGAACCCGCGTCGAGTATGCCCGTCTACCTGTTTACAGAACCCATTCGTGCTATATCGTCACAATAATCTTGCGTGGTCACATATTTGCTGTTTTTGTATTGATAACCCCAGTCAACCAGGTCATGTTTAAACTATTTTAGTTTCAAATTAGATAATATTACTGAATTTGGTGTTTAGATTAACGTGTTTCATGATGGTATAACTCAAACTATATTCTCAGTGAGGTTACGATCATGGCAGATATCAAGATTTAATAGCGACGCCATGATTTGTGATGCAGGTAACTTAATATTAGAGTAATTGCAGATGTCTCAAAGTACTATTCAGGCCTTTCGAACACTTATTTAACAAATTTAAATCTCTGAGACCTAGTCGAAATAACTAGTTTTCACACACATGATCTTAACTATATAATAAACATTACTAATTTAATAAGAACAGGTTTATGTATCAAGGCTACTAACGCTACGTGTATGCCCAAGACAATATGTAATAGAAATCGAACTTGTAACCTATCAGTTTAATGCTGCCAACTTCTGTCTATCGTATTCGACCCGATCTATGGTGATTCCCCAACTGAAGGACAAGTTACCTGGTTACGCCACTTCTATGTGTATCTACGTATTCAGCTGCTCCTGCGGAGAAAGCTATATTGGGCGCACAACCAGGCAACTGAACCAAAGAGTTAGTGAACACCTCCCATCGTGGTTAGGAAAAGGTTACGTAAAGACAATACGCAGCTCAGTTCTATCACACCTAATCGATAGTGGTCATGTAGTGGACAGAAATAAGTTATTTAAAGTTATTTATCGTATTCCCACTAATTTTCCCTATGGTGTTCGATCTCGTCTCTTACACATAGCAGAAGCTATAGGAATTCGAGCCAACAAGCCGAGTCTTTGTGTTCAGAAGAAATTTGTAACACCCTTATCTCTCCCTTGGCCTTAATAAATGAATTTATTTGTTATTTTCTTTTCAAACCTTCTCTTTGTTTATTAATTCTTCTTCACCCCCTCCTACTATTTTATTTTTATTTTTTCACGGTTCAATTATCTGAACACTTCTCATTACGTCATCTTATAATAATTTTTATAAATGTTATCTCACTATCTATATTTTTCTAATCATTGACCTATTTCCGATTATGTAACATTGATTTGAGCCTTTATTATTCTTATAAAAACTAATACACCTGTCATCACACTATCTATTTGTACTTTTCACATAATATGTAATCGTTTTATTCATCGTTATCATTGATTTATAAACTACCTTGATTGGTTTAATAATTTCGTATATGCATATAAATATTACTGTATATTAGAGTAAAGCCTGATGAGGATCTAATCGAAAACAATATTGTTCGCTTATATATGTTGTTCTAAATTTACATTATGGGAATATTTCAAATTATCAGTTAAAAGACAAATGGTTTAACCACCAAGCCGCCAGTTCAACTTAATTACTTCCAAAACCATACGTCAATGGTTATAACACTTACCTTTAGCGAATTCACGTAATCAACATTTTCGTACTCCGCTTCAGATTCATGACTAGAGGAGTCTCCAACAGCTATATCTTCTAATACCTAGGTATTCACAAAGCACCATGTGAAAAACAGAAAATCTATTAGAAAATATCTCACAATACAGAACATAAACTCATGAAAAAATTTCTGGGAGAAAATCAATGAGAAGCAGAAACAATCGGTTATTTTATTCAGCCAGTAGTTTCACAAAAAAATGACTGTCGAAAATTTGGTAAATTTCAAAGTAAATATTATTACAAACTGATGATTAATTGACAACCATATAAAACCAAGGAGCAGTAAAAAGAATTTGCGTTCTAACTAACAATAAGAACTCAAGACCCTTAACAAAATTAGATCAAGGATATCATGCCCTACATTAATCTTCGATTTTGCTAAATTTCAATTATTCATCTAGTCGATTAGTAATTTATCTCTCGTTGGCCGTGTAACAGACAGTCAAGACCCAAGTTAAGGCATGCTGACAATACTACTTAGTCATTATGCCATGTTGTCAAACTGACTCAGGTACAAATATTTGAATTTTCGACTTGGTGGTAGTATTGTATTGAGCTTGTTATGATAAGAATTGGCTAATTTCAACCCGAAGGTGGTAGATGTATAGCGTTGTAAAGTCTCAAACTTGGTTAAGGCAACTAATGAGTGCTACTTAATCCTCAATTGATTTTCAGAGGATTTAAAGTAAATGTTGGTTAATTAATGTATTATTTTGGTATCCGATGTTAACTGACAGTAAAACTGTATCTCAGAATTATGTAGAAGTCTTAATGTTTTAAAACTATTTATTAACCAATCGTCAAAATTTTAATTCCAGTTTCCTCTTAACATTTTAACATAAAGAAAAAATCAAATAGTCTTGTCGTTTGCCACGAAATGACATTCTAGATATATTATTGGAGCATAATACTAGATCACGTTGAATATATATATATATAATCCAAGATATTCAGTAGTGTCCCATAGATTCATCGCAGCTGGGTGTCTGTTCGTCTCTATTCACTGGCCAATCACATATTAGTTTTAATAGCCACACATCATATTTTAACTTATGTATTCATATTCCTTGTAATTACATTTTTCTCAGATGTGGAAATCGCAAGTTAAAATACAATCACAACCCTATGTTTTCTGGTCAGTGATTACAATGTTAAAACAATCTTTTAATTTTCAACATACCATAAAGAAAACACAGAATCACAAGTCGGAGATTTCATCAGGGAATATCAAGTACCTGACCAGAATGAACACTTCTTAACCGTAGTGAAAGAACACACTAACCTATTGCAAATAAGTATCGGAAAAGTATTTGACTAGTGTATATACGCTTAAGTAAATAAGAGTAATTTTCAAATAGCTGGTGAAAAGTTGGATTCCTTTACTGTCCTTTAGAAAATGATGCGAGTTTTGAACAAATGTTCTTTTCCATAAGCATACTATTGTTATTTGACGTGGTTACAAATTCCACGTTACTTTTTTATCAAGCCAAGTACCCACACTGAGCATTGCTTAGACATAAAAATTTAGTGACTTTTGATCGATGAAAATTACAAAGTTAAGAATTAATGAAGAGTTTCAGTTAAAATATATCTCCACTTCAGCACCAGCCAGACAGGTAAAGCAGTAATTTTGTGTTAGACAAACCTGTTTAAATTAATTTGTTCTCCAATCTATGATTTACGAAGCTATGAGCAAAATACACAATAGCTAATGTCAATCAATTAGATAACAGGAAGTATACATGATGTAGTTTTTATACTGAGACCATATAACTAGATCATTCTCATAGTTAGCTAATTAATACAACTGTTACACAGTATAAGTCAGACTAAGAACTTATGATTAAGTACATTTGTGCAAGTACTCAAAAACATTCTGTTACATACATCATCCTCTACAATTGGATCCACAGCTTTCAGAACATTTTTACTAGATGAAATCCCATCTCGGCAATAAAGGAAGTCAACAGTAGCTGTTTCTATATTTTCTTTTGAAATATCAACATTGTCCACGATTTCAGCATTATCCAATTCATTCAAAAAAATCAGGGATGCATTCAATTGACAACGTATAAGATTAACTAAATTGGAAAAGGTTCCATTCGAAACAAATGACGTGTTACAATTTTGTTCAACATAGGACTTCAAATTGTTAGCACTGTGGAAATAAAGAATAAGTTAGATATTTGCAGCTTGTTTTTTTTCTTGAAATATTCAATATATCAGAAGACAATTTTACAAGAAGTTGCAGTACACGCAGATAGAAACAAAACAAAATCAAGTATCTTTACTACATCACCATAAATTTTGGATTTATAATGTTGTAAATTAATTTTTATTATTATCTGTTTTTTTTTATGCGTAAAAGATATTAATGCTGAATTTCTTACTGTAAGGTGATGCCAACTATAAAGCAAATGATTCTGGTTCGAATTCAAAAAGCATTAAGTTTATATTCAAAACCCATGAAATACGTCACGGGTAAATACTAACAAGTAAGAAAAATATGTCACGCTGATTACCACCAATTACTTTAAAATGAATGATAAAAATTCGACTTACCTATTTATATTTATTTAGATCGAAGTCAATAATTAGTGTAAACGCGAAGACACATTTGTTCTATATCAGTATAAATTAAGCTACTAAAAGCTGAAAATAGCTGTTGGATATTAGCGTCCTATATCCGACAAGTCCATAGAATAGTTCGCATCCAGCAAACTAATCTTATAGCTCACTTTATAAAGCATCAGTCTGGTTGTCAAGAGGCTGATGGTTTGAATAAAGCTGTAATTCAAATTTCCGTCTAACTTCAACTACCATATACACAAAACTTCAAACCCCTAACCAAAGCTACTTCATGTAGTTTTCTATTTCTACTGCTCAAAGCAATTTTATGCCTAAATACCTAGTTACCTGCGCCCAAAATTTATGCATAACACAAGTATGATCACTAATCAAAAGCTTCGACTGAACGTGAACTTCTATAAAATACTAGTCTTTTAATATGACGGGGATCATTAAACAATTAAAATGTTGTGAACAACCAATTGCGTTGAAGGTGCTCAATGAGTTCCTGAAGTATAACATAAAGTTCATTGAAACGAAAACTACTATTGAATTTATCAACAGGTGCATCGAATCAGGTCATTATCCTAAATTGTACTATACATCAATTAGACGAAACGGGGTCTACCCCAACAGAAAAACACTAAAACGCCACGCCTTAAACCAGATTGACGCCTTGCATTCAGACATAAATGTGACATTGTGGATAACGCACGTTTGAAGTTAAGATATAAGACACAAAATGTATACCAACTAGTTCACATTCTTTTTTCACTTCTTAGTTGCTAAGCCCTGGATATAAGGAATGTAATAATAACTCGAATAATGACAACAAACGGTAAATATAAGCACTGTACTCTCGAAATACATATTTTAGGTGCATACGGACAAAACAAGCAGTGATCATTTAAAGCTTATCTCGTATGGAAAAACGGGCTTGGTTACTTCCCATTTTTTCTTTAGAATAATCAAAGCAGTGATAATGAGTAATTGATGAAGCGAACCAAAACTGTAGTGATATTCCAATTGAAGAATCGGTACATAGTTTTTTGATTACCCTCAATGAGTATGAAATATAGGTTAGTAGTGTCCTGTTAATTAACTTGAAACATTCGGCAGCAATGCCTTGCCGAATAGTTCAAAGAAAAACGGAGACCAAACATGGGAAAAAATCACCCCTCACGTATAAATAAAAACTGGATGGAGTATTGTGATGTAATTTATCAACCAAGTATATGTTTTTTGCACTTGGTTATAGGTCGTGCCTTGTTTTTTATGAGGGATAGTGATACAAAAAGGGTTGCCAAAATCGAAGCAGAGTAAGCTTGATTCAAACACGTAGTTGATTGGTTGACAGTCGAGTGTCTTAATCACTAAATCGTTGCTTCATTGCAATCACATACTCAGATAAAAGAAAACACTATTGATGAAATCAAAGGTCAGTCAGTCATAAGTAACGTAGATCGAAATGCGTAACAGAAGAGGAAAATAATACACCAGTCAAAAAGAAAAGTATAAAATATGGAGAAACAACTGGAACAAACATTATCATATAAAACACATAGAATGCACAGCTTACTGTTCCAATGAAACAAGAAGATGCAACAATAATTCGTGAGTTATTCGAGCCTCTGTTCGTTTATAGAGATTTTTGACTTCATTTTCTCTAGATACATATTCTTTTGCAGTTCGAGCATCATTATGTATGAGCTTGCCATTTAAAATCATTGAATGCAATTCATTCAGTTTAATGAATTCATTTTTTATTCTAGTCAAAAAGTAGTCCCATTTCCATACTGACATAATCAATCGTACTAAAAAAACGAAAAGAAACAGAATCAATATTAGTAAGTCGTATATTGTGGTGTAACTCATACACCAAGCATAGATTTGTGTACTCAGCCTTAACTCATACAGCTTATGTAAAGACTATAACAATATTACCCGGCTCCTCAAACAGAATTAAATAAATAGTCATTCGTATCTTTAACCTACTGGTTCAAAGTGGAATGGATTCATCACCACTTCCTACTTAAACGATATACTGAACAGTTAATTTGTTAAAAGACATATTGATCAATGACAGGTTTGTATACCGAGCTTTGATATACTATCTATCTTTACATGAAAGAATGGATGAATCGGCATTTAGACGAACAATTTAACATTGTTTTACCAGCACTTATTCCATCTCCCTAGCATTTTAACAAAACTTAGAAAAGTCTACTATATACCATGAAATAAAGTTGTCATGTTCAAAATTAGTTTGAACGTATGTAAAGACATCATATTAATCACATAATATGGCCCACTGATGAATAATGCTTCATCTCTTAATAAGTCAAATAGCACCGGAATTTCTCATATTACGAAACCTGTTATTTTTTATTTTTATAGCTAACATTAGAATAATTCCAAAGATTTTAGCGCATCAGAAGATTAACAGGTGGTAAACATTTATTTCTATTCGGAATAACTGGATTCAATTACTTAATACCTTACAAGTTTCATGATGCAAGCTGGACCGATATTTTTCATGAGCATATTGAAACGAAACCTTGAATTTTAATCACCCAGCAAAATGTAAGCACAATATTAATTTATTTCGATAGTGATTTGTGACCGGTCAGCGTTTTATACAAACTACCAATAAATACATGCGAATGATGAACATACATAGGTAAAAAGTATCCCGTGTTGATTGGCAAAACGAGAATGATAATTTGACCAAGAGATCAGATGTTAACAGTTTTAACAATTCACAAAACATCTGAAAGTAAAAACAAGATAAAAACTAACCGAAGAGAAAAACAAACTCTTAAATTTTCGATGCTTGGGTCTTTAGGTTTTTCTTCTATGTCACATTTTAATTGAATAAGTTCTGAATTTGACATCTCCAATGGTATCTCAGAATTATTTTCACCAATTAAGTCTATGAAAACAAAATCATATAGTACAACAATAACAATAACACATTCTGACCTACTTCCTAATTTTAGAGAAAAATCAACCAATTCTATAAGGTAAGCGCGCATAAAGTTGTACGCCTGATGGTATATTAGTGGGAAAAGTTTAAATGTATTTTTATCTACAATTCTGTATTAGGTTGTCAGTAATTTAAAAATGCATACTTGGGACCAAAATAACGACGGGTATTGAGATCTTGTAAGAAAAGAACGATAAGGTGGGATCTGTGAAAGAATTTTTTCATTTGCTTCAATGAGTCTGCAAGATGATATTTAGATACCATTAGAAATAGTACATTGGACATCCGTAAACACAAAATAACGAGTAAGAATATAAGAATCATTTGAGTAGAGTAACTTAATCCGAATCCACAAAGAATGAAAAACATCGCGAAACAACATCTAGAACTTTTTAATCAGAATATTTCAATTCCGCTTGCTACCTTGAGTCGATTTGGTCGTTATTTCCCACCGAGTATATGTATTCAACCACTGGTTTATTCTCAACAGTAATTAGATCACTGTACTTTATTAAGCTAATTATCTGAAGCAAAAAATGTCTTGTAAGCTGACAAATATAAACTGATAACAATAACTCACTGGTAAATCGAAACCGAAATATAATGTAAAATCAAAAGGATTTATACATTTTAAATAAGATGAGATCTGCGCAAACTTTTTCACCGGAAAGGTACTAGTAGTGCTGGTAGTAGGCCTTTTGGAGATTTCACAAGTAGCAACATCCGGAATTCCAATTTCTCGCAAGTATTGTTGTAATGGATGGTTCTAAGAGAAAATAAATTCAAACTAAATTTACTTCTGGTAAGTAAGTATCTTCTTCTTCCATGTCTGACTTATATCATGTACACCTCTATAAATATGGAAAATCACAAAAATGACCGTAATTTGTAGTTAATTCAACCAAAGTAACCGAGTGCAGTGATCTGTAAAAACGACAATAGTTCATACGAGTAATATTTAACAGGATTAATTTGATAATCAGAAACTAAAACAACCACAAATATTTTTAACAACTTGAGGTGGTATGATTGAAAACAATGTCCGCTGCAAGTAAAAAAGAACTGGAGTACCAAAAATATGAGATGGCCAGTGAACGTGTAAATGATGCTGCGTTCATTACATGTGGCAAAAAATATAACTATTCGAACTATGGTCAATTTAGAACTCCAACAATTAAGTTGTTAATCACAGGTATTTACTATCTCACAAATCACAGTTCAGAAATGTTTCATTCTAGGAAATTAACAGGCTTCCAGGGACGCAAAATAATTATACTACATTATAGCTATCATTTACACATTTACTAACTACATTTTGAATAAAGTCAAAATGCTTAACTTCCCATTTTACTATGAAAAGCGTGACGTACAAGCGCAACTATACTAATAAGTGACGTTGACGCATAAGGAGAAAATTTGTACCAAAAAGAAAGTTATGGCCGAGATATCTTCGGAGTAATGTACTGACAGACTAATAGGGGTAATTGTTTCAGACATATTAGTTTCAATTACTTGTTCTTGGTCGTCACCAGAAGGACGTTTATGTCGATCGAGTAATGAACATAGATAAAATAATGTCATATTTCTGAATACTTTATCTAATTAGTTTCATATGGTTTTTCTGGAACACTGGTAATTATTTTACTTCTCCTACTACGCAATCAGACTAATCATGATGTCTTAAAAGAGACACGTTGGGCGAAGACTTTAAAAGAGTATAAAAAGTTGGAAGATACTATGTTTATAATGATTTAAAGTCATTTATTTATAACAGGGACTTCAAAATAAACAAGGATGAACAAGTAAAACCTTAGCCATTCAACTAACAAGCCGAAAGTAAGAATTCTCGAAATGATTACTGCATAACCCATACGTCCGTTTGATAACTACCTGTGGGATCAGTAGTATGTAAATGAAATTATCAAATGAAAACTTAGCAGCCAACCATCATCACATGAATTAGACATCGTCAGAGCAAAGTGTAAATCTATTGATACATATTATAGTAAATTATTTGTCTGGCTACTGTTGTAGGACTAAGCGAACTAATTCTGTATCGAGTCTGGGAACTGTATGTGGTTGCAATTTCATTAGACACTACGGATTTACGAAATGAAATCAAATGCATATAACCCACATTTCAAGAGTCCAATACGACCTGTGCTGTAACTTCAAGCAGCTGCCATGAAATTTTTAGTGAAATGAAGTGTCAGTACGTGTAGTGTCAATGTACTTTCGTGATCTCGTATCCTACTCGAGGTGCTAAACTGTGTAATAAGGGGAAAATTTATGTTTTTTGAATATTTTTCATTTTATGTAAACATTCAGGCCGTCCAAAATATGAGTACGATATACCACTGACAGTTGTGAACCAGTATCTCCCGAAACCGTATACAACCACCTGCATAGTTCCCGAATTCCCTGGTACGGGTCGAAGATTTTTTGTGCACAAAACGATATGAGTTTTATGGAGTCGCTGGTATCGATTCAGAGCATAAAGCGAACAAATGTGACATGTCAGATCCAAAATACTTGACAAAACTTTAAATGGTTTTTTTATCAGTTTGTTGTAAATGGCAGCTTTGAAAGAAGGCAATGTCAGCATTGACGCAAACTGAAAGACAAGTCAACATTGGAGAAACCGCTCAGTCGTTCAAGACGGTGACACTTCAAAGACAATCACTTTCACTGTATATTGCACACTGGGACAACTTTGTGCCATAAATGAAGAGTTTGCAGCCGTTAGTTGTTTAGTGTTGATTAGATGTTCAGAGTTTGACAATGTGTTTGCACAATGAGTCTGACTGATCGGTTAGCCGTATCTGTATCCGCAAATACCGGTCGAAAAGATCCTACTGGATTGTCCTCCCGAAACCGATTCACGATTTTAATGAGAAAGAGACAACTGAAGCAAAACCTCAAAAAGTTACCGAGCCAGGTATAATCTGTCACAGAAACTTGACTGACGCAACCTACAGATAGTATGGAACTTGATTTTGAGGGTTTTACGCTAGTACGAACAGAGAGAAACCAGAAGCGTAAGTGAGGGGAGTTGCCCTCTTCATTAGGAATGCTATCCCATTCACCATTATCGACAGCGTATCCCATGAGAAAGGAACATGTGAATTAATTAACTGCCGCTTGAAATGCAAGGGACAATAGCTGTTGATTGGCATGATCTAACGCAGTCCAGGCTGTGAGGTGAATGAGGTGTTGCTAAACAGTCTTATTACCTGATCACAAAGTAGTCGACATCTGATCCTAGGAGACTTTAATGCACCCATGGTAGACTGGAAAAACCTGCGAACTGAATTGTCAGGTAAGTCCTTTGAGCAGGAACCAGTTGATGAGGTTATCACATGTTCCCTAGTGCAACATGCCAATGAAGAGACTAGGTACGACCCGGACTCTGAATCGTCCTTACTAGATCTTATATTGACCCATTATGAAGATGACGATACAAACCTCGATTACATACCACCCCGAGGTAAAAGTAATCATGCAGTCTAACCTTTGACTTTCATATAATTGTCCAAAACGAGCACGCTCAGCCCTCCAATGCATTGGTGTGGCTGAGAGTGGGGTGGGCTCGCCCTCCCTCTCAAAATCCTTTCACACGGCCACGTGTACACAGCCTCTGTCAGGGAAGTCCTACTCACTGCCTTCTCGTGGCGGGGGTGTTGTTTACGAAAATGAGAGGACGAAAAGCGAATGTCCGGCGCTTTAACCGGATCCCAAACCAATGGTGCACATGGGCTCCAGTATCCTGAGGGAACAAATGGCGTATGAACCAATTTTTGGTCACCGGCTTCCATGGGACTGCATCTCCTCACGATGCTCCACTGCCTTGTGGACTAGACCTTTAGGTCAAAGGCTCGAGGTGTGGCCTCCTAAGAAAACCACCTGCTTCGGTTTGGGCACCCGGGCAGTTTCACAGCCCACACACAAATAAAACTTTGTGTGGCGCATATGTATTTGGTGCCCTCTTGTACCAATATTTATGTGTTCAAATAAATAAATAACAATCGAAATCTAACGTCTGGATATTATACACTCTGAATCGTCAGTAGATTGGACAATAGAGCCAGAGTCCCCAATTGAAACGGCTTGAGACGTATTTCGAAATTTATACTTAAAAGTTACTGCACCCCACACCCCTTGGACTACATCAAGGGGGCTGAGAAACTCTTTATCATGGTTCAGTAGGGAGGTTTGCATCCTCCGTGAGAAAATATGGGATAGATTCAGGTTACTGGGGACTGATGAGACAAAATCTCAGTACCTATGCCTCGACCATCCGTAAGTCTAGAAAGTTGTACGAAGAAAAAATTGTCAAGGAATCTATAGAATGTCCTAAACGCTTGTATTCGTATATAAACCAAAGGACAAAAAGAAGAGGAAATATTCCAGCACTATGGGGAGACAGTACTGCTTCATCATCAGTGGAGGACGACTTTGGTAAGGCTTAAGTATTCTCAAACTACCTTAGCAATGCATATACCATAGAAACGCGCTTCCAGTCAGTTCATAAAAATCCCCACACACACACACTGGACAGCGTAACCATTAAAGAACTCGATGTCTTTGGTCTGCTAAATAAGCATGACATAGTTAGATCTATGGGAACCGATGAACTGCACCTTAGGTTACTAAAGGAATTAGCTAACTTTGTTGCGAACGCTTTAAGTATATGCTTCAATCTATCCGTAACTCAGGGTCATTTACCAAAAGACTGGAAGAACGCCATAGTAAGTCCTGTCTTCAAAACAGGTACTAAACATAAACCTGAGAACTACCGACCCGTTAGCCTAACTAGTGTGGTCGTTGAAATTTTAGAAAAGATTATTCGGAAGGAGCTATTTAAATGGCTTGATGAAAACCGGATCCTTTCGGAGAAGCAGTTTGGTTTTAGACTAGGTTATTCCTGTCACACCAACTTATTAGTGTCTTATGAAAGCTGATGCGCTATTAAGGACCAAAGTTAGCCGTAAACGTAGCCTACATCGGCTTCTGCAAAGCTTTCGACAAAGTTCCGCACAACCGGCTATTATGTAAGCTAATAAATGTCCGGGGTGGAGGCAATCTACTGATGTGAATAAGGGACTTCCTAGTTTGGCTCCAACAAAGAGTAGTTGTGAAATCCAAGTTGTCTAGCTGAGAAACTGTGCTTGGTGAAGTGCCTTAAGGTATAGTTTGGGGGCCAGTGTTACTCCTCTTATAATTAGATGACCTTCCTCGTCTACTGTCATCCCCGGTCCTGCTCTATGCTAAAGATGTGAAGATATGGAGAGCGATACGAAGTAAGGGTGATAGCTGAGAACTCCAAAATGACCCGGAGAAATTATCTATTTATTTATTATTTATTTTAACACATAGGTATTGGTACACGGAGGCACCAAATACATATGCGCCACACGAATCTCAATTGATTTGTGTGAGGGCTGTGATACTGCCCAGGTGCCCAAACCGAAGCAGGTGGTTTTCTTAGGGGGCCACACCCCGAGCCTTCGACCTGAATGTCTGACCCACAAGGCAGTGGAGCATCGTAAGAAGATGCAGTCCCATGGTCCCAAACCTGGCAGTTGCCGATAAATACTTCCAAGTGTATTGTTATGCATATCGATCATCTGAGCTACCTGTTGTCCAGACACACAATGACTTAAGAGTCATCGTTAGCCAAGTCTTAAAGACTACTGCACACAGCCGTGCAATAGCCGCCAAAGGTTTTAAAACTTTGTGGTTAATACGTAGGGTCTTTAGTCACATCGATACTAAAACTTTTTTGACTTTGTATAGTGTTCTTGCGTCCTAAACTTGAGTACTGCATACAAGCGGCTAGCCCCTGCTTAAAAAAGAGAGTGAGTCTTTGGAAAAGGTTAAGAGAACAGCAACTAAGCTGATTCCTGGAATAACAAAGCTCCTGCATGATGCTCGACGGGCCAAGTTAAACCTATTCCCGTTGTCATATAGAAGAACTAGAGGTGACATGATTACAGTTTTCAAATTGCATAGCGATAAATTTGCGCCTGATATACCCTCATTTTTCTTGTCTTCCAAAACAGAGAATTTACGAGGACACTCCCAAAAAGTTCACAAGCCCAAAACAAATTACTTGTCAGCTGACTATCGACTTTCCCATAGAATCATCAACGAGTGGAATTCATTACCTCGGCACGTGGTTAAGGCTTCATCCGTCGATTCTTTCAAAAGAAAGTTGGATCGACTGAGAAACCATCACTTCCAGGACTAGCACAGGCCATCAAGCCTCCTGTCCTTTTCAAACTGAGGCGATATGCAAGATCGAAAGTGGCCACGTTTTTCGAATAGTACCGTCGAAATGGAAACTGTTCAAGGATTTCCTAATTAAAAATGGGTTTTTGAAGGTCTGAAGCCTATTTTTATAACACCTGACACCTTTTAGAGCACAAAAGGTTGTTTTGGGTTGAGTTCCATTGTGACTCTAAATGCACTGTGGTTTTCCACTATTACCATACTCTTTACGCTGATTGTCATTAAGTCACTTGTACATAATGGTTGGTTTGTGCAGATAATATTCCGTATACGTCGCAAGTTTGTTCTTCTCAAGCGTTCTTGGTTGTCATAGATCGACTTATAACAGACGATGGAATAAAATGCGAATAGCTTTCATGAAAAAACATAACTTGTTTTCATTTAGTCAGTCTGCTAGTGAAAGCACAATCACAGGTAAGTGAATTTCTATGCAGTGCACGTTTAATTGACAGCAGTGGAGAGAGAAATTACTCGTAATGAGACTCCAAATGTGACACCATCCACTAGCTACAGTTATCAAAGGCCTCCAGATAATAATGGTATGTATATAAAGTTAATACGTGAATGCATTTTTTGTAGGATCAAATGACGTTATTTTATGCTCTCAAAAGTCCGTTAATCGCAAAGAACAGATCAACAACGTGTTGATGACATTAATTACGAACACCCCTCTGAGCATCAGTGATGCTGATCGAATTCTGAATGATTTAAGAGACCTGGTTCCGGACTTACCAAGGAGCATCAGAAGTATTCTAAGGACCTGTAGAAGTGTCCAACCACAGTTCATCAGCAGTGGGGTTTACTATCACCTCGGATTGAAAACCAATCTTCTAAGATTTGTTGAACTTTGGTTGTGTACTTTTGATTTCGATACTCTGCATTTTCATATTAATGTTGATGGACTATCTATGTCTACGAGCTCAAATAAACAATTATGGCCAATTTTAGGACAGATCATTGCCCCTAGGTGTAGTGATGTCTTCATGATAGGGATCTACGGAGGGAATAGTAAACCTGCAGAATTCAACGAATTATCTGCTGACACAATTTCTGAAATAAAAGAAATTACTGACGTGGGTCTGTTTAGTAATAAGTTTAATAAATACATAACTATTAAGTTGTCCCGTGTAATATGTGACGCACCTGCTCGTTCTGCAATTAGGTACACAGTTAATCACAATGGTAAGGCAGGTTGCGATCGGTGTACTGTACTTGGTAGACGGCTTGAGAGAAGAATGACATTTCCAAATGGTGAATATACTTTAAGAACGGATGACAGCTTTCGTCGTCAGACTCAATCCATTCACCATCGAGGCCATTCATTTAAGGAAACGCTTTCTGTTAATATGATCTCCAATTTCCCTTCAGCGTATATTTAGGCAAAAAGTAGACAATTTGGCGGATATTTAGGCGAAAAGTAGACAATTTAGCGACAAGGCGACAAAAAGGGGGAAATCCGCATTATTTCCCCCGGACAGGCGAAAAAGGAGACATTTGGACGCGTTTTCCCCTTTATTTCCCCTTTCTTTACCTCAGCATTTCCCCCTTTTTTCGCCTTTATTTCCCTTTATTGGTTGATTGGGTCGTTAATACACCCCAGTGAATTGTTTCGATAAATGATCAATTTTTGGACATCATAGGTAGTACTGAACGCTAAAAATCAATGAGGTGAGACTATAATTTATGGACGACCTTAGAGGGATGCTAAAGTGACCTTGCAAGTGTTTACCTACCTAATAGGACAAAATGAAGACTATAAAGCAGTTTGAAGAATAAGGATTATGATTTACAGTTTATGGATAGGGGGGGGTTTCTCCTCCTAAGACATTATTGACTGGGATGTAAATAATGTACCTTCCCACTTAATCTCAACTATTTAGAACCTAAGCGTTGCACACGGTTCAGATATACCGCTTATCCAATGGTGAACACTTGAGCATCTCAAGTCACAGCACAGTTGTTAAGGTTCAAATGATTGTGGACGCAAAAGAAGAAGTTTTTGCTTAACGGTATTCCTTATCCGGCATTGATGAATCACTGATCCTTCCAGGTATGAACCTAGACATATTTGACTACGAAAAGAGAAATCTTTGTAAGTCATAGCGAAATAGTATCTCGAGTTCTTGAGAATATGCCAGGATTTTTCTTAGATGGCTCCTGATTAGTTGCCTGAACCACCTCAGGCGGCAATTAAATGCAACGCTTGACTACTCGTAGAGAGTGCGCCATCAAGTCTCTCTGCCATGTTGTTTCTCTAATTTCTAGGTATTAACCCTGTGGTTTGTGTCAGAAATAAGCCTAGCTTAGTGTTTAATGGAGTGCTCAGAATGTCGCAAGTCACTGGAAGGTTACATTTGTGACGCTTATGCCCTAATGGTTAAAGTTTCAGTAACTTGAGTCGTTCTTCATAAGGTTTGAATTTGAGTCTCCGTAGAAATTTCGTACTTCACCATTGGATACGTTCCAGTGTATTCTTGTCTTTAAGAGTGGAGAAAAAGCATCAAATTTTTGTGTTCTAAATGGGTTCAAATAAAACTGTTAAACATTAAGCTGAAGATCCTACCATCAAACCGACCGAAAATGTCCTTGAAAGTTTGCTCCAAAGGCATTTCTATCGCAGTCGGCACAAGACTTTAGATCACAGGATACCAACACTTCTGCATCTTTCTCAACCCATGACACTTCTAGAGGACAACCGTTTAAGCTGTGTCTGCAGTCTGTAATATGTCTCAAATGTTGATGAATAAAAATTTATAGTTAAAATTAACTACGTAGTAAAGTCGAGATATACGTAAATAAATGAGTAAATATGTTAATCGACTTTCATCACACCCGACCTATAGATTTAAAAATTTTCTTTTTCTTTTCAATCTATACCATGATTGCCAGGAATCGATACTTGCAAAAACAAAATGTGAATATTTTTCGAGGTTTTATATTTTAAGACACCATTATCACACTAACAAAATTTTAAATTCTTGACAAGAAACATTACTTTTAGCGTCTGCTATGTATAAAATGTGAATGAAGGTTTAGTGATACTTTTAAGTAAAGCATTTTTCAAATGAAGGTAATGATAAGTTTTTAATTCAGATATTTTATATGTCGTTTTACAATTTTCGAATGATATCATTAATTGACCCAGGTCGGACATTGCGACTAATTTTGCATAACCTAGATTCTAAAGATCCTGAGTTCATTCTAATGTGAAGTCGTGAGTTCAAACTGAGAGCAACAAAACGTCCGTTCATTCCTTGATGACATTTATGGTTTCTGCAGCTGATTTCACTCAATGATGAAACTACTGTCAAAACAAATTTGTGTTGACGTTTATCAAAGGTGAGTAGCCGTTGAAGAATGACACTCACCATTGTAAAAAGTATCTGTAGAATTATGGTCTACTATGATATTAGCACTGCTCTAATAACAGAACTAATCCTAAAATTGCAGATTTGTTATGATGTAACTGCCTAATCTATAAGATCTTACGTGGAAGTCACATTATCATCTACACCAACTCACTGCGTCGTAACAATTACCAATACATGATATAGAACAATCTTAGGCTAGAGATGGAACAATATATTTAATATGAATAAAAGACATAACGTAACATTTAGCAAGAGGGACCACGCCTGCATGGTCGAGCCATGCCATAAGATTAACCTCGATTAATTCAATTCCTTATTCCCGCCTTCTCCATTGTTGAGTATTCCTTTGCGTTAAATATTGAATATCTATTTTCCGAGTAGTCTCGTGTTCAGCTTTGAGGATTGTGTGGTTATGATCCGATGTCACTACATATCCATTAAAATAACTGCATGATCGAGACTTGAAGTTCAACCTGATGAAAAGTGTAGATGTTATCAGACATTATCTCTAAAGATGTCGTTATAATATGTTATGAACGTACCCAATTTTTCGACATTCCATTATTAAAATGGCGGCAATTGAGAGTACTTGAATAATTGTACAAACTAGGAATTTCCAAAACAGCACAATTTGCAGTAATTAGAAGTAGCTGAGCACGAATGAGCGCACTGTATTCAAAATTCGGAATCGGGCAGTCATCAAGTACAAAAGAATCCTTAGTCCATACGAATACCACATCCGCCAAAGCCTAAATGAGAATCCAAATTATTGCAATCAATTGTACCTCTTCTTTTTAGGTTCATCATGTGTCCGTCCGACTGTGTATTGAATGCAGACGCTGTATGATCTAGAACATACTCATTAGTGTTAGAATTCACAAGTGAAATCGGAATGAACTCGTCTGGGTCCTGGAATTGTATGCAATCACCATGTCAGTTGTGTACTGAAATTGCAGATATCTGGAATTCGAACCAAAGATTTTCCAACAATATCCTTCTCAACGAATTAATGTTGGATCTTCAAATCCTCGACTTATGAATAATGTGGCTTCATTAAAAACATATTTCTTGCACTGATAAGTGGATAAGTATAAGCGAAATTTGATATTAAATCATCCGAATTGTAATAAAAATCGAGCTCATTTGGGATTCGTGCATCTCACTGAACAACTATCCCTTAAAAACAGATGCACTATGAAGACAAACAACATTTGACATGACATCAGAATTTGATTATTTTGAAAGATCTTCTTCAAATTTAATAAGAATATCATTATAGAAAATTGATCATCAAAAAATCAGCATATATCGAAACCGTATCAGATTTCCGATGATGACTTGATTCATTTAACACATTTTCCTCACATTTGTACGAAATTTCATCAGAAGTATGTGGATCACAAGAAAATACCATACCTGGTACTATGACATCATAGTCTTGATCAGGATTCGGTGCACTCGATATATCTTCTATATATTTGTGAATAATCTCATTGAAAGTAAATGTATCATGGAAACAACGTCTATCTGGTAAATAATATCATGAATCTGATCAAAGTATGATCAATCTGAAACATTCAACTGAATAGAATCACAATTACAAAATTTGGCAGTACTTCTAGTGAAATTAATAGCAGTATTACAAACTGCCTGAGAGTGTGGTATTTCACCGCACTTAAAGCATTTAGCATGACGAAATACACATGACTTGCATGAGTGAAATTTACCACAGAACAAACATTTACCATACTTGTACTCATCTTCGTGACCTACTTCGTAACTCCCCAAAGAATTGTTATCTGCATAACCTTGGGTACGCATCGGATTGGGATGACGTAGTAATGTAATGTAATTCTTGATTTCCTGATGAATCTTTTCATGCAATTTTCCTTCTTTATAGCATTCGAAATTTGAACACTTTACAGGGTCTAGTAGTAGTTCCTTGACAGTTGTGCAAAGAAGGGAAATCGGCTTATCTGGAAGTGCCAAAGTCCTTATCGAACTGTATGCTTCTTTTTCGATCAATGTTAGGAAATGTGCCAGGATATTAACATCCTAAACTTCTTCCTTGATCATAGTCTAGATTTCGAACCTTTCCATGTGATCCTCGAAAGCAAGAAAATTCGAATGTATGTCCAACTGTCCAAGCACATGCTCCATCGCGACTTCAGTGTGATGATAAAAGTGTAGATCACTAACGTAGATGATCTATGTCGAATAATTAAGTGCCCACTCGAGTTACACGGGAATGGTGTGACCAGCAGTCAACTTTGAAGTCACACCACACGGTCAGCACCTTTCGTAGACTACTCTTTCGACGTATCAAGGTACGATGGATGTTTTGAAGACCATATAACACAATGGACGTTATTACAGAAATATATTGGTCAGAATAGGTACAAGAAAAAGTGTGATCATCATCGTATAATCCAATTCATGGCGCACGATCAATTGACGCGCGCCGGTTGTCCTTGAACCTTTCGACATTCAGTGACCCTACTGCCGGATGATTTGACTGGGACTCACTGACATTCTACTGGCCCTTCAGAAGTATCTGAATTATTGTATGAACTAGGAATCCTTTAAACAGCGTAATTTAGAACAAGAATAACTAGGTGAGCACAATCGTATTGTATTTAGACTTCGAAATCAGGCAGTCATCAAGTACGAAAAAATCACTAGTTTATGCGAGCACCACAATTACTATATCTACCTATAGAGCCGTAGTGGCATTAAGCCTTAGCCATACAATCCCCGAAGCTGAACACGAAACAACTGGTAAAATGGATATTCAAAACTTAAAGCAGGCAAAATCCCGAGGATGAAGAAGGCCGAAACAATGAATTGAATTAATTTGAATTGATCGGGAGGAATGACTCTGCCTCACAGGCCTGTTCGCTCTGTACAACTTGCATCTACTCATATTAAATATATTGTTTTATCTCCAGCCTGAATGTATTCTTCATCATACTCTGGTAATTGTTGCGATACGATGAGTCAGTGTAGACATTTATGTGACTTTCACGTAAGATCTTACAGATAGGCAGTTATATCATGACAATTCTGTAATTTTAGGATTAGGTCTATTATTAGAGCAGTACTAGTATCATACTAGACGATACTTCTACAGACCCCACTCAACTAGTCTCTGTGTAATATTCCTTTCCAACACTCCTATGTCGTTTTCAGATTGGGATACCTCTAGAGGCGAACTACATAAGTTGTATGGATAGCCTAAAATATGCTTCAGATGAACTAATTTGTGTTTTGAAGTGTCGAAAGTACGTCTTTGGTTATCCACATGAATTCGAAGTCGATTCATATCTTCATGAAATACTAGTTCATCATCCTGGTTGCAAACCTCATCCCTAAGTTCTACATCGTCGGCAAAAACACAATAATTCAGCCGGTACTTGCTGAGGAAGGTCATCTATACAAGTTAAGAAAAGAAGAGGTCCTACTACTGAACTGTGAGGGACCCCAACAAGATATTTCGTAGCTTGAAAGAAATTGAAGTTTATCCTGACCTTAAAGTATAAATTA